TAATGTAAATATCTTTTTGTTATCCGATGGTCTTAGGCGACCCCTGTGAAAGGGTCATTTGACCCCCAAGGGGGTCGCGACCCACAGGTTGAGAACCGTACAGTCACTCAGACTGTTGATGAACTTGACAACAAAATAGTACAAATGACTTTGTGTATTTGAGTCCAGTTCTTTTGTTTCTGTTGACCCTTATTATTCTGGGTGGGGAGGATGGATTGGCAGTGACTGCTTTCTGCTTCTCTCTGTTTTTGAGGTGCTTCTGTGTCTGCTCTGCATCGTGGCGTTGGTAGCTACCGAGCTGTGGACGTATGTCCGTTGGTACACCCAGCTGAAACGTATTTTAGTCATCAGTTTTCTCTTCAGTTTGGGATGGAATTGGATATATTTATATAAGGTATGAAGTCGGTGGACAGTTTAAACATTTTTAAATGTTATTTCATAATAAAAGACTACAATCTACTTAGAGCTAGTAGATAACCTTGCCTCACATGAGGGTTGGAGGCAGTGAGTGGAGATGAGGGGCAACTGGCAACTGCTTGGCTGCACTTGGTTTTCTTGGGCCCTTGACTAGTTAGTGGAAAAAAGTTTCAGTTCTAGTTTTCATAACCCATTTCCCGATAGGTGGCATCAGGACAGCTAACTCAGAACAGAGCTCGGTAGGCACATTTAAAAATTCTTATTTAAGTGATTTCAGATATATCCTTTTATTCTTTGCTAGAAATTATATCAAAATGTTAGTTTTTAATAGTTAAGTTTATTTTCTGAATATAAAAGTGGTATGTTCAAGGTAGAGAATTTAGAAAACATAGAGAAATTTAATTTTTAAAAATCATCTGTAGTATCATCTAGAGATATTTAAGAGATAGTCTCTGTTAATATTTTGACATATTTCTTTCCAATCTTTTTTCTAAATTTTAATTCTTTCAAAATTGGGATCATGCTGTATATAGAAATGTGAAAGAAGCACTGCTGTTTCTGTCAAAATAATCATTGAAGAAAAATTTTAAATCTTTTTAGCCAGGTTAGTCAAGTAGCCAGATATTTTCAATGAATTCATCTGATTAAATCATTGTGATTTTTTTTTAACCTTTTGCTCAAAGTTCTATAGCTTCTAGAATTAGTAATTATTTACAAATGAAAGGAAAGGAGGTTACCTGGTGAATACTGTTATCTCAATGATTTCCCCTTTGATTTATAAAAGATATATCATCTTTATTTTTATTTATTTATTTTAAAGATTTTATTGGGGAATTGGGGTAGGGGAGTAGCACTGGGGAATCGGGGAAGGGGAACAGCCAAGTTGCTGTCCTTTTGTTCTTCAGTCTAGTTGTGGAGGACGTCGCTTCACTGGCCCATGTTGGTATTATCATTGCGCTCTTCCTGGGTGAGGTAGTCACTTGCCGGTCATTGGACAGCTGCTCACAGCCGGTCACGCCGGCTGCCGGCTGCTCACAGTCGCTCATGGCAGCCCACTGCAGCCTACACCGTTGCCGGCAACTCACGGCGGTCCAGCTCCAGGTCAAGCTGTTGTTCACAATTTTAGCTGTAGAGGGCGCAGCTTACTGGTGCATGTGGGAATCAAACCGGTAGTCCTGTCGTTCAGAGCTCACGCTCTTACCAACTGAGCTGCTCGGCTGGCCCATATTATCTTTATAATAGGCCATTCGTGGTGAAAACCATCCAAAACAAAACACTATTTTATCATGAAATGAGAAGTAGTCATGGGGGGCCTGGTATAAACTATATATATATATTTATTTTAAAGATTTTATTGGGAAATTGGGGGAGGGGAACAGCGTTGGGGAATCAGGGAGGGGGAACAGACAAGTTGCTTTCCTTTTGTTCTTCAGTCTAGTTGTGGAGGATGTTGCTTCACTGGCCCACATTGGTATTGTGATCATTGCACTCTTCCCGGGTGAGGTAGTCGCTTGTTGGCCATTGGACAGCCGCTCACTGCGGCTCACAGCAGCTCAGGCTGGCTGCCGGCCAGCCCAACTGCAGCCTCCACCGTCACGGTTACTCAAAGCAGCCCAGCTCCAGGTCGAGCTGTTGTTCACCATCTTAGCCGTAGAGGGCGCAGCATCACTGGCCCTCATGTGGCATCCAAACCGTGGCCCTGCTACTCAGAGCTGGCGTCCTAAGCCAGCTCCTAACCAACGTGCCACTTGGCCGGCCCTGAAATATATTTTGAACTAATTTTTTTAAATAATCTTTAGTGAAAAGGTTTTCCTTTCTCATCATAATTACTTACGAAAAAGGCAATTATAGTTAGTTCTTTATCCTTACTTGTTGCATTAAAACCATACTTTGCCAAAAAGCTACTCTTTAAAAATAATATATTTTTTTTCTATTAAAAAATTTTAAACAATCTGGTGTCTGGTGACGACATGCTTTGAACAAAGGTTTTTTGGATATGGAGGTGTAGCCTTTATCGTTCATGGTTCCCTTTTGGTGTTTGTCAGTTAGCGTTCGCACAGCATCAGGCCGAAGTTGCCAAGATGGAGCCATTTAACAATGTATGTACTGAGAAGATGGACTGGACTGAAAGTCTCTGGGGTAAGATGTTGGTTCACTTGGCCTGATTTTGAAAAGAATTTCTGAGAACGAGAAGACATGAATAATTACAAAGAAATGTTAAAATGCCACAAGGAGGCTTTCTGTGACTGACCCTTTAGTATCAAAAGAACATGCAAGAGTCGTAGGTTTCAGACTAGTGACTTTTTTGTGTTCATATAATGTCACAGGAAGGAATAATAACTGTATAGCTGGCTCTGATGCTAGCTGTCTTCCTCCATTAGACTGTGAGGATCCTGTGTGCTCGCTGTTCATCTAATCCTTACCAGTGTCTAGCACATTCTAGTTCCTCAACTAAAGTTTATTAAAGAAGTGTATATGTGCATTAATATCCATCTTAGATTTAATCTCCTTATACTGACTTATGAAATCTTATATTGTAGCTTTACTATACTCTTGTTTTTTATTAAAGGTAAAATTATTTTACTTTTTTTTTCTTACAGATTTTAAACATTCTCGCTAACGTTGACTGCCTTTAGTTATGTAGCAGTGGGAATGGTTTAGTGTTCAAAGCACCTTATAAATAAATGAGAGTCCATGATGACTGATCAGGATAGAATCTCAGCAGATTGTACAAATCAGGGTGTCCCAAATTAATGCTTCTTACAAAGTTATGGCGACTAAACCAACCCAGCCTGCTTCAGGGGACAACTGCTTCTTTAGCTCAGGCTGGTATGTAATGTAAGCCTGATTTAGAAATATTGAGAGAACTGATATTCTAATTTATTTGATAAAATAAGGAAAGAACTAAATTTTTAAATTTAAATTTTATTGAGATTATTGTAGAGTCACAGGTCTTGATAGAGAGATCTTGTGTACCCTTTACCCATTTCTCCCTGTGGTAACGTCTCGTACAACTACGCTAATACAGTATCACAACCAGGATAAACTGTGGTACACCCACCAATCTTATTCAGATTTCCCCAGATTTACTTGGATTCATTTATGTGTGTACAGAACAAATTTTAAAGTTACCTTTTAGAAATCTTGATAACATAATATTTTATCTGCATAAGACTTGTATAATTTGAATGGATTTTTAAGCATTTTGAACATAAGATGAAAAATTTTTAAATTGGCATTATAGGAAGTCTATTTGTAAAACAATTTAAAATTGATTGGTGGTGGCGGTGGTGGGGGTAAAACCAAAATATTGTCTTATTTGGGAATGAAATACAACTTTTTTTTTTTAATGACTCAGTGTTCTTTCTGTCTCTCTAAATAGAATGGCTTTCAAGTTCATTGACATATAAGGATGACTCGTGCAAAAAATACTATGAGCTCTTATTAGTCAACCCTATTTGGTTGGTCCCACCAACAAAGGTATGGGATATTTTGTAAAAATCACTCATACAGAGTAAGTCAAAAATCCTTTGTATTTATTAAAAATTTTTACTGTTTTTTTAGTCATTTTGCTAATAAACCTTTGTTCTAGAAAATAATACTTTTATTACAGAGTAATTTTCACATTTTTAAAAGCATATGACAAAAAAAAGTATATGATAACATTTTAATTTATATACCATAATTCCAGCTGTAGTTCCCAATGATTTTTAGCTCATTCTACAATCTGTGCCTCAAAATCCTTTGAGGAAAAAAATTAAGTTGCTTTACCTTTTGCTTTAGGCACTGGCAGTTACGTTCACCAACTTTATCACGGAGCCATTGAAGTACATTGGAAAAGGAACTGGTGAATTCATTAGAGCACTGATGAAGGAGATTCCAGGGATACTTCACATCCCAGTGCTGATAATTATGGCATTAGCTGTCCTGGTGAGTATAGAGCGTCACTGACAGTTACCGGGATTTACAGAAAAAAAGGTTAAATCACGCTTAACGGTATGCGATGGTGATTTTTAAGTGCTGTAGCTTTATTTATACTTACATGTATGTTCCTCTGAGCGAGGAAGCAGTGCTCGAGTTTGATTATGGATGTCATGGCAGTGATTTACAATAAACGTTTCTTTTAAAATTTGTTCCTTAATGGCGAGTTAATACACATGAAATCAGAAATCAGTCGTTTACATCCTCTTTGAGAAAGTGGGCTTTCTTATTTCAGTCTGAGTGTTTGTAGCACTGAGGAGGGAAGGTCGCTACGTCTAACAATCCAGAAGGGATGCGGGAAGAGGTGAGTGTAAACAGCTTGTGATCCAGGAGCAGACATTTCTTAACAAGAAATATTACCTGCCACTCATTAGTGGTCTCTAGCTTTTTTGTTGTTGGTTTTCAGCCCTATCCAATCAAGTGGTTGTCACATGAAAGAAAACATCAACAAATCAGATGTGTCACGGAAAGTATTAAAGGATTGTCCTCCCTAAGGACACAAAATTCACTATTCTATATTCAGTTTGTTCCTGTTTTGTTTTTGTTTTTTTGGCTTGTGATTATAGGATTCTTTGGTTTAGGCATATGGTTTTGTTAGGTGACATTAGTTGTATAGCAGTAGTTTAATCTCTGAAACTGAAATTATAAGCAAAACCCCATCATCTTGTATTGCTTTCTCCGCTGCCTAAGGAAAGGCCTTTTGCTGCTTCAGTTTTCAAATAGCATCTCTGGTACCGTGATTTTAAATGTTTTGTTCTCAGGACTCTTTATATTCCTAAGAAATGAAGACCACAAAGAGTTCTTGTTTATGGGAGTTTTATTTTTTTTATATTTACCATATTAGGAATTAAAACTGAGAAAATTTAAAAATACCAAATACACAAACACGCAGCCCATGAGCCCTCAGATTGAGGCAGAAGACTGCTGCACACTCACGAGAGGAGAGTGAGAAAAATGAATGTCTTTGTAGTACGAAGTTTTGACCTCACAGATCCCCTGAAAGTGTCTCGGGGGTCCTTCCTGGGCTCTGTGGGCCACACTTTGAGAAATGCTGCCTAGTTTTTCCCATGTGACTCAAAGCCTGTTGAATTTTAGCTGTAGCTAAAGCTAAGTTTGTAGTGGTAAAAAAAAAAAGTTTACATAATGATATACAACTTTGAGTAATTATCAGCATTTACCTTATATGATGGGTGTGAAGATAGACTGCATATGAGCAATTATCAGACAATTAGTACTTTCCAATTTAAATTTGTTGGCTTCAGCCTAACTGGCATTGTTATAATTCAGTCAGAATGTGTCCAGCTGATTGAAATGTCTACCTAATACTCAGCGATTTCTCAAATTTTATCGGCTGTTCTGGCCCTGTATTAAAGAAGAGATCGCTAATGAAAAAAGAGTGTAGTCAAGATGTTTATGTCTATAAATGCACATGTTAAATTGCGTAATTTTGTTTGCACCCTGAATTAAAAGCACCTCCTAATTTCATTGTAAGTCAGCCATTACTCAGGAATATGTGTTTCTTTTCCTTCTAGAGCTTCTGCTATGGTGCTGGAACATCTGTTTATATGCTGAGACCTTTAGGTGGTCCTGGAAGAGAGCAGCCCCAGGCCCTTCAGCCTGGTGACAGACGGCGGCAGGAAATTGATTATAGATCCCAGGCTGGAGCAGGTGATGCAGATTTTTATTATAGGGGCCGAATTGGCCCCTCTGAGCAAGGCCCTTATGACAAAACGTATGAGGGTAGAAGAGATGTTTTCAGAGAGAGAGATGTTGACTTGAGACTTCAGACTGGCAACAAGAGCCCTGAAGTGCTCCGGGCGTTTGATTTACCAGACACAGAGGCGCGAGAGCATCCCCAGGTGGTGCCCAGTGTAAGTCAGCAACTGTTCCTTTTCCTGCCCCTTCTAATGAGCCTCAGTGCTTCCTGTAGAGCTTTTGGTAAACTGTTTTTACTCTTTCACCCTGCACTGTTAATTATGTTGCTAATGACATATTTATTCACATTCTCTTTCTCTCCCCCTTTCTGGTCAAAAGTTAGTCCAGCCTCCTCAGAAGAAATGAGAGTTATATTTTATGTTAAATACTCTTTAACAGTAGTTTGCTAGCACAGATGGTATTTCATGTGAAATTCCATAGGAAACCTCCAAGTGAGCGTGACTGAAATTTCTACCTTTGAAGAGCTCACCAAGGCCTCACTGAAGGCCCCGAGCCTCCGGAAGCCCCCAGGAGAGCCCTAGAGTCTTAGCTGGGAAAGTGGGCTGGGGGGGACCAAGAGCCTCTCCTTCCCAAATCTTTTACATCTTTGGCTGACGACACTATACTTTTGACATGTAGAATGGTGAGGCCTTCTTTCCACCATTATTGGCTATTTAAAGGGACATTTCCATTTTTGTGTGAGAGAAGAATTTGTATTGTCATTTGTTATGTTGCAATGGAAAGCCTTTGAAAAATAGCTACGAGGAAATGACAGAATCCCTGCATGCATCTGGAAAACTGGAAGATGTTCCTTTCAGCTGTAAGAGTTAATGTTTATCTGTCACTCATCTCAATCCTCCAGGGACTTCCCATCTCACTTGAAGCCACAGTTACCTGGGTGGCCTAGGGCTGGCTTAATCTGCCCACACCCCACCTATCACTGCGCTGACCCCCTTCATTCTACTTCAGCCACAAGGGCCTCCAGACTGTTCCTTGAACTCAGCCTTTGTGCGTGCTGTTCACTAGCTGGAATTCTCCCTCACATATTCACGTGGTTCATTTCTTCACCTCTTTTCTTTAAGCCTTTACTCATAGATCACCTTTCAGACCCCCCAGTTTAAACAGCAGTCCAACCCCACCACCACCACCCACTTGCAGCATGATACTTTAATTTGTTCCCTAATTCTCTCCCCAACCTAAATGTGAGTTGCAGTGAGGGTGGGGATTTTTTTTTCTTTATTTTTATTGGGGGGTTGGGGGAAGGGAACAGTGTTGGGGAATTGGGGAAGGGGACCAGCCAAGTTGTTGTCTTTCAGTCTTAGTTGTGGAGGGCACAGCAAGCTCAGCTCCAAGTCTAGTGGCGCAGCTCAGCTCAAGGTGCTGTGTTCAGTTAGTTGCGGGTGGGCGTAGCCACCATCCCATGCGGGAGTTGAACCGGCAGCCTTGTTAAGAGCGCACCCTCTATGGGGGTTTTGTGTTTTGTTCCAGCTAATATATCCCCAGCATCTATAACTTAATGTATGCTCAGTAAATGTTTGTTGAATGAATTGTTCTCAGCAAGAGGAGTTGGCAATACTGGCCACCAGTCCTCTTGACCCTTCCTAAGCTGGGTCACTTGACCACCTTGGCTGTCCTAAGTGTCCCACTCCTCTATGTACAGTTCTGTGAGGCTTAATAATATTTATATAATTACAGTCCAGCACTGGAACCAGGATTTGAAAGAATTCAGAGTTTGTTACAACATTTTCCATATAAACTTGTTAAACATGTTTGATTACTAAACCTTCACATTATGTTGCTTAATTCAAACGAAATGTAATTGTCTGCTTTATAGCCGAAGTCACCTATTTTGGCTGCAAAGCCCAGAGAGATTGGTGGAATCCCAGGAGAAAGCACACCGCCAGAAAGCAGTCCTGAAAGTGTCCAGCCTCTGAAGCCTGTCTCTGGCCAAGAGCTATCAGGGAGTGTGGAAGGTTCGCCTGCCGCAGGAAAGGCCCAGCCCAGGAATGATGGCACAGGCAGCCCAGCGAGCACTGTGGCGGCGGCCGGCGGAAGGGATCCCGATAGCGGCCCCTGTGGCTAGAGGACAGACTCGGACCCCAGCTTGGGTTTTGTAAAGTATGCTCTTCCCAACTATTTACTACAAGTATTCTGATATTTACCACACAGGTGCCAACTTAAACATTAATATTTTTACTGACAGAATTAACAAACACATATGTATTTGTATTTATTTTGTTTGATTTTTTTTTTCATCCATTTAATTTTATCTTCTTTCTGATGTTAAGATACATCCTATAAAGTTGGGAAGTGTTAACTTGGGAACAGGATCTCATAGATGAATATATGGCAAGCATCACTAACTGAATAATTAAGGAGGCGAGTTTGAATTAAGGACATTGAAAAAAGTTTTATTATTTACAAGCATATATAGGAGCCAACTAACCAAAGTGTGTGTTGCCTGTTGGACCTACTTTAGTTAACAGGATAATTTGTTAGTTGTGCACTGGATTCCAAAAGTGATGTGTACGACAAATGACAACACTATTTTTAAGGAAAGTCCACTATTGTCAAGTTTACTCTCTCCACGTACCTCAGCCTCCTAATACAGCCACAGGGTCTGCAGTACCGGCATCCATCCACCTGTGTCTGTGTGGGCTGCCCACAGATCCAAGCGGCTTTGTAGTTTGGATCGTCCTACCTTCGTCTCTCGATACTGCAGCTGTTACTGGGCTTGTTTCCGTGTCACCCCTTTTATTTTATCCTTAGCTAAGATGAACTGAAGATTGCCAGGGGAATTTAGATATCAGAGCTTGTTAAGTCAGTTGTATATAGTGAGTAGACTTTGGGAATGGCGTTGTTCTTTCCCCATCAGACGAAGCGCACAGGCTTCGTAAGACCTATTTCCCTGGCTACTCAGAATCCAAGCACTTGAGACTGTTTTAAACTTTTTTAAAAATAAAACAATTTATTTTTGCTGGTACCTGCCTAGAAAGCAGTTTCACATACTTAGGTACCCTTTGTTTTAACCTTAACGCTAAAAGTTATGTTCAGCTGTTTACTAAGAATAATATCAATAAGAATAGTTGTACAATTTTCATTCAGATATTTGTATCAGAAAAACATATTCAAAGCATTTGCTTTTTGATACTTTTTTACATGAAATATAGAATATTTCTTTTTTCGGCTCTGAAAGCATCATTTAGATGCCTGTAACAATTTAATTTTATGTGTTAATATTATTTTCTAGTTTAATATTACAAACATCTTTTAGTATCTCATCAGAGAGGTGGTCATTTTTTCCAAGGAATACAAAAAGAATTTTATATAAAAATTTTTTAACAGTAGGCATATAACAAATGAACTAATAATGAAAGGATACCTGCATTTTGGGATAGATTTGTGAACATTGATGCATATAACGTAGTCTTCTGTGGGGGCCAGACGTGGTCACACTGGTGACTGCTCTCAAGGTGGCACCTGTCATCTGAGCTGTGATTCGGATTCTGAAGAGAAATGAATGCCTCAGGAGGTAGACTATAGCTACAAGAGTAGAACTCATGCATTTTACACTCCTGACTGCATTTTATCAATCCAAAAATGAATCTTTTAAAAAATTTTTAAGTCAAATTACATCTTTGTATTCTTTCATTACAGATAACCATTTGGGGATGAAATCTACTTTGACAGCTAGCAAAGCAACATGCTACTGTTGAATGATGACAGCAATTCAGGGAAGACTAATTAAAGCAATTGAACATATCAAGGCCAGTTTATAACGAGAAGAGATAGGCTTGTTTATTGTGTATCCAATATTTATCACTATAATCAAAGTTTATAGTGACAGGCTTTTAGGAAAATCAGAATGGGGTAGACAGTTTTTAAATGGAGTAATAGTGAATATTTACAGGGTCTAAGAACTACCATATGCACAAAATAAACACTTATTTTTACATTATTGTGGTTGATATGCAGTCTTTGTTCATTGAATATTCTTATAAGAAAAAGCAAAACTTATGGATGCTTTTATTATATCCCATATGTAATATATAAAACACAGTATAATCCAGGTGTTGAGTAATTTTCACATTTTATTTTCCTGAGCCCTTAATATAATTCCAGATTGTGTAACTAACTTGCTTCATTTTTTTAAACATTGGTCATTTGGAGAAGTGGTTCTCATTGCTGATCAAAATCACCTGAAGAATTTTTAGAAAGAGCTCCCCAGATCCCAGGCCAGCTGTGCAGAGTCAGAAGCAACCAGAGGTGACTGAGTTCGTTTGTTCCTGGCTTGGGTCTGCATTACGCAGTTCAGCCATAGTCCAGGCCTGCTCTGTCCTTTCTTGCTTTTGCTGAACTCTGTGTCATGTCCTATTATGTATCCCTGTAAACCACCTTCAGTTTCTGTGAAGATGAGGCCAAGGCTTAGTGACAACTGAGGTTCTCACCTATGGTCTTTCATACTTAAATTTTATGCATTTTCATCTGTTTTCTATTTTCATGGCCTATGTTCTTGACGTAACCACATGGGTTTTTGTTTTTTTAACATTAGGTCCTAAAAAGTTTACAGCAGTATTTTGCAACAAAGGATACATTTTAAAACCATGTATATGTGGAGGTATTTTATATATATATGGTCATGCACCACCTAATGATGTTTTGGTCAACTGGCAGAGCACATATACAGTGGTGGTCTCATAAGATTATAATGGAGATGAAAAAATTCCTGTCGCCTAGGGACATCTTAGCCATTGTAGCAGAATTCCGCACGTGTCTGGTGACGCTGGTATAAACAAATCTACACTGCCAGTCGTATAGAAGTAGAGCACATATGATTATAGTAGTAGGCTGTACCGTCTAGATTTGTTAAGTATATTCTATGATGTTCGTACATCATAAGGCATTTCTCAGAACTACCCCCATCCATTAAGCGGCGCATGACTATTTTTAAACAGAGTCCAAAACATGCTAAAAGAAGTTTATTTCTTAAGAGTTTTTTGTAATGGCTTTGACCTAATATATTGAAAATAGATTTTCTTGGGGAAAAAAACCCTAATTTTTTTTATAAGACTATATAACTTTTTTACATGTTGGTCAAGTACATTATTTTTACTAGACAGCATAATTTCTCACATCAATCGTTAAACGTATAAAAAAAAGCCATTGTCAATTAAGATTTTAAAAAATTATTTCAGCCAGAGGATTAAATTGTCTGGGATTCATTTAACCTACTTCACAAACATAGGTAAAGGAACCTAACAAGTGCCAAAGAACACAGTCCCAAGCAGAAATCACAAAAGTTGATGAAGCACCTATAAGACACCTCCACCCTGAAACAGGAGACTGTCCAGAGGAATGTTACTGCTATACTATTAAAGGTTAAATATGTACATCATTCTAAAACATTTTAAGCTGTATTACAGTGCTATAATTTCTCCTTTTAAGGAAAAAAGAAATAGATTGGATTTCCTTGCAGTGTTCTGAAAGGAAATAGTCACTTTTAAAAATTACATCCATCGTAACTAGTGGTTTGCTTATTTTCTTCCTGAATTTTTAAGTTCCAACAAAGCATTACTTTGCAAACAGTCCTTTAGACCAAATTCAGTGTCTCTGTTTTGATCTCTTTGTAAAAGAACTCTCTGTTCATCCATTCTTTTCGCCTGAGACCGTAAAATAAGGCTAAAAAAGTCCTCATCTGGTACTGTCGGTCCCTTTGTGGCAGCAGGTGGTGGAGCACATCTTTGATCATCTAATCTTGACCCCTAGAAATGTACGATAGAGACATTAACACAAATACTGCAGGGAAGGACAGTGCCAAGCTATGTCATGTCATTCACAACAAGAAAATGTAGCTTTAAACATTTCCTTTTTGCTTCTTCTCAGAAATTTACTTAAGTTTTAGATCTGAAACCTAGTACGATTTTCCATTTAAAATGATTTATGGGCTGGCCAAGTGGCGCGTTGGTTAAGAGTTGGCTTGGGATGCCAGCTCTGAGCAGCAGGGCCCCGGTTCAGAACCCATATGTGGGCCAGTGATGCTGCGCCCTCTACAGCTAAGATGGAGAACAACAGCTCAACCTGGAGCTCAGCTGCCATGAGTCGCCGGTGTAGGCTGCAGCGGGGCTGGTTGGCAGTGGGCGTGAGCTTTCGTGAGCAGCCATCCAATGGCCGGCGACTGATCTGCCTCACCCGGGAAGAGCGCAATGATAATACCAACATGGGCCAGTGAAGTGACGTCCTCTACAACTAGACTGAAGAACAAAAGGACAGCAACTTGTCTGTTCCCCTTTCCCAATTCCCCAACGCTGTTCCTCTCTCCGAATTCCCCAATAAAATCTTTAAAAAAAAAAAAGACTTATAACAAGTGTTGTATAGGAGTATAGCTATAGCTTCATGGCTCTGGTAAGATTAGGACACAAAGGTCACTTGTGTCCGAGCGTGACAGTTAAAGATTATAATCTTGCCATAGTAGGCATCAGCAGATACAATTTACCAAATCCTCAGAAATGCCTTAACATTTAACCGCACAACCCTGTGAGGGTCGTTTGCTTATTGGCCTAGCCAGAGCCATCCCCGGCCTCCACACACACCCAGCTCACACATTTTTCTTGTCATATGTCTTGGTAATTTCACTGTCCTCCAACACGCAGGCACTTCAGTTCCTACACCTCCGCTCCTCTGGTGCGTTCATTCTTATGCCTTATCCATTTGCTCCCATGGTCATCGGCCAGACTTTCTCAATAACTCCACCGTTTTAAAAATTATTTCAAAATACACATCCCATGCTGACCACAGCCTCCCAATTTTTCCAGATCATGCTCTAGTATTCCTCCAGGAAATCTTTTTAAAATGGTGATAAATATAAAATTTACCACTTTAACCATTTTTATGTTGTGCAGTCGTCACCACCATATTCATCTCCAGAACACTTTTAATCTGGCAAAACAAACTAAACTTACTAAACAATAACTCCCATCCTCCCTTCCCTCCTGCCCCTGCAACCACTATTATTTCTGTCTCTATGAATTTTACTGTTCTAGATACCTGTACCTCTTATGAGCGGAATCATAGAGTATTTGTCCTTGTGTGACTGCTTATTTCTCAGCATATCTTCAAGGTTCATCTTGTAGCATGTATCAGAATTTCCTTCATTTTTAAGGCTGAAAAATACTCCATTGTATTCATATACCACATTTTGTTTATCCATTCATCTGTCAGTGGAAACTTGGGTTGCTTTCACCTTTTGGCTGTTGTGAATGCTGCTATGAATATGGGGGTACAAATAACTGTTCTGTCCCTACTTTTCAATTGTTTTGTTTGGGTATCTACCCAGAAGTGAAACTGCTGGATCACATGGCAGTCTATTTTTAATTTTTAGAGGACCTGCCATACTGTTTTCCGTAGCAGCTGCACCATTCCCACCTGCAGTGCACAAGTGTTCCAATTTCTCCACATCCTTGCCAACGTGTTATTTCTGTTTGTTTGTTTTTTTGAAAGTAGCCATCATCCTAATGGGTGTGAAGAGGTATCTCAATGTGGTTTTGATTTGAATTTCTCTAATGATTTGGGATGTTGAGCATCTTTTCCTATGCTTATTGGCCATTTGTATATCTTGTCTATTTGGGTTCTTTGCCCATTTTTTAATCAGACTTTTTATTGAGTTTTTGGAGCTTTCTACATGCTGTATTGATCATATCAGTTATTAATTGCAAATATTTTCTGTGGGTTGCCTTTTTACTTCGCTAATAGTGTCCTTTGATGTATAAAAATTTTTAATTTTCATAAGTCCAATTTTTCAGTTTTTTCATTGCCAAATCCAAAATCAGGAAGCTTTCCCCTTTAACACTTTGATCTGTTTTGAGTTAACTTATACAGAGAGTGCCAAAAAATGTATACACATTTTAAGAAAGAAAAAAAACTATTAAAAAAACTATTAAAATTGTTACTACTCAATATATACCAATAACAAAAGACGAATACAAGTCATGTGTATACATTTTTTTGGCATGCCTGGTATATGGTGTCAGGTACCGGCCCAGTTTTTGAATGTGGATATCCAATTTTTCATCATTTGTTGATAAGACTCCTTTCCCCATTGAATGGTCTTGCCATCTTTGTCAAAATAATTTGACCATGTATGTAAGGGCTTAATCTGTTTTATTCCCTCTGTCTATATGTCTATCATTATGCCAGTTCTGCACTGTTTTGATTACAATAGCTTTGTAGTAAATTTTGAAATCAGGAAGTTTGAGTCTTCTTTTTTGTTCTTGATTATTTAGCCTGTTGAGATTCCCTTGAGATTCCACATGAATGTTAGGATAGATTTTTCTATTTCTGTAAAAAACATCATTGAAATTTTGATACGGAGTGCACTGAATCTGTAAATCACACTCTGGGTGGTATTAACATTTTTAACAATATTAAGTCTTCCAATCCATGAACGTGCATGAAAATGCTTTCCACTTGTTGTTCCTAATTTCTTTGAGAAATATTTTGTAGTTTACATTGTATAAGTCTTTACCTCCAAGGTTAATTCCTAAGTATTTTATTCTTTTTGATGCTATTGTAAGTGGAATTGTTTTCTTAATTTCCTTTTTGGGCTGTTCATTGTTATTGTATAGGAACAACTGATTTTTGGATATTGATTTTATATCCTGTACTTTGCTGAATTTGTTTCTTAGTTCTAACAGGTTTTTTTTGTGTGTGAAATCTTTCGAGTTTTCTACATTTAAGATCCTGTCATCTTGAAACAAAGATAATTTTACTTCTTCCTTTCCAATTTGGATGCCTTTCGCGTCATGTTCTTGCCTAACTGCTCTGGGTAGAACTCCCAGTACTATGCCGAATAGAAGTGGCAAGAGTGGGCATCCTTGTCTTCTTCCTGATGTTAGAGAAAAGCCTTCAGTCTTTTACCGTTGAGTATGATGATAACTACAGGTATTTCATAAATTAATTATGTTGAGTAGTTTCTAGTAGTTTCCTACTATTCCTAGTTTGAGTGTTTTTATCATATAAATGTGTTGAATTTTGTCAAGTGCTTTTTATGCATCAACTGGATGATGTGGTTTTTCTTTTTTCATTCAGTTTAATGTGATGTAATTACATTGATTGATTTCCATACGTTGTCTCATCCTTCCATTCCAGGAATAAATCCTACTTGGTCATGGTGTATAATCCTTTTATGCTGTTGCTGGATCCTGTTAGTATTTTAATGATTTCTGCATCTATATTCAAAAAGGATATTGGTCTGTAGTTTTCTTGTAGTGTCACCATAGCAATATACTGGCCTCATAGAATGACTCCTAAGTCATAGGAACTGTTCCCTTCCCTTCAGTTTTTTGGAAGAATTTGAGAAGGATTGGTATTAGTTCTTTAAATGTTTGGCAGGATTCAGGTCTGGGGTTTTGGGGTTTTGTTTTTTGTTTTTTGGTCAGGGGGTTTCTGATTACTGATAGGATTTGCTTACAAATTATGGGTCTGTTTTCTATTTCTTTGTGATTCACACTTGATTTTGTGTTTCTAGTTATTCGTTTCATCTAGGTTATCCAATTGTTGGCATATAATCATTCATAGTATTCTATAATTTTTATTTCTGTAGAATCAGGATAATGTCCCTACTTTCATTTCTAATTTAAGCATTGTCTTTTTCTTAGTCTAGCTAAAAGAATTATCAATCTTTTTGAAGAACTAGCTTTTGGTTTTGTTGCTTTTCTGTTTGCAATTTTATTTCCTTCCATTATATTTTTTTCTTTTTCTAGTTCCTTAAAAGTTAGGTTGTTGATTTGAGATCTTTCTTCTTTTTAACATAAGCATTTATAGCTATAAATTTCCCAAAGCACTGCCTCCCACGAGTTTTAGTTTTCATTGCTCTATAGGTATTTATAATTTCTACAAATTTGTGAATTTTCCAGTTTACCTTCTGTTACTGCTTGGAGAAGATAGTTTGTGTGATAGATATCTTTTAAAATCTGTTGAGACTTAATTTGTAGCCTAACGTATGGTCTATCCTGGAGAATGTCCCATGTGCACTTAAGAATATGTGTTCTGTTGTTGTGTAGAGTGTTCTAATATATCTGTTAGCTCTAGTTTGTTTATGGTGGTGTTCAAGGCCTGTTTTCTTCTGCCAGTTTGTCCTACCCATTATTGAGATTGTTGTGGGTATTGAAGTCTCCAACTATTATTGTAGAAATGTCCATTTCTCCCTTCAATTCTGTCAATATTTTGTTTCATACATGTTGATGTTCTATTACTAGGTATGTGTCTTCAGTATTTCTTTAATTCACTGAAATCATGACCACTTTTCACACCTTTCATTTCCTTACTTCCCTTTCTTCTTAGATTCCAAAGTCCATTACTAAAACCATTCCCTGGCATGTGCTTCTCTCCTCCATCCTATTCTCTAGGCAAAGTACCAACCTTGATTAAATCTCTCTCTCTCTCCTTGAGCAGCTGGTTATGACTGGAGAAAATACATAATTGTACTGAATGGTCTTAATTCAGTGACCATGAACTTCAAGTGAGTCCTCAGCACAGTTCAGCAATCCTATTACTTTTATTAGTCAGTATGCCTTCAGTTTCTCAAAGTCAAATATGTTCCCCTTTCCTCTTTTCAAAATTACAATGCTCCAATCTCAGCTTGCGATCCTATGTCTTATTTGCCAGAGACAGTTCCTGCTTGCTCCCACCTCCAAATCTGTACACTCGCCTTTCTCCCCTACACAAGAGTGTGTTCTTCAATCATTCCATATTCTTCTGTATCACTGGTTCCCCTTTTGACTTGATCATTTCCATCAGCAGACATGCTACGTTATCTCCCCAAAAAAGAAAAAAATGGCCCTCCAACTAATGGTTCATTTCTTTGCTTTCCTTTTTTTTTGTTTTAGGGAGCCAGGACCAACGATCACCAGCTGCCCAGATACCAAAACATTATGCTTCCGAAATCTCTTAATGTGGATTCCGCACGCAGAACAATCAAGCTGCCCTGCGTGTGCCACTCACGACAGAAGCCCTTTTTTCTTTGCTTTCCTTTGTAAGCAAAACTCCTTGAAAATTTTGTTTACTATTTCCCCTTTTATACTTCCCATTTACTCAACCCACTCAATCCTTTGTCCCTACCTCCCTAAAACAGTATTATCCTTCAAAATTACTAATCGCCATGTTGCCAATTCTAGGCTTCTTGGCATTTGACACAGTTGAACATTCCTTAAAACACTCGCTCATCTCCTCTATCCAGTGGAGTAATTAATACCAGCTATCTGCTTGATGACTCCCAAAGCTACTTCCCCCTTGGACGCCAGATTTTTATATCCAACTTGTTTCAACATTTTTAAAGTACAACTCTTGCTTTTTCTCCTACAATCTTCTCCATTTCATTAAATGGCACCATTCATTCACACCAAAAATATATGAATCATCTTTGATTCTCTCTCATACCCACCATCCAGTTTATTAACTGGTCTTGCCAATCAATCATAACTTCAAAATATATCCCTATTCTGACTACTCCCACCACTGTAGTCAAAGTCACCAGTAACTTTTGTGTAAATTAGTTTCCTCGCTGGTTTTCTTACTAACAACACCCTTTGCCACTCTACAGTCTTTTAAACATAGCCAGGACCATCTTACAGAACAGAGCCCTCCAATGTCTTCCCACCACATTGGGAACACAAGACCTCATCAAGGCCTATATGACCGCAGCCCTGATTACTTCACCCTCATTTCGTACCACTCTCCCCTTGCCTCAGCCCATGCCAATCACACTGGCCACTCCTTGAACCTTTTAAGGTTTTGGGGACTTGCTGTCTCTGCATGGTCTTTCACTAAATATTCACATGGCTGACTGCTTCACCTCATTCAGGTTTCTGTTCAAATGTCAATCCAGAAATGTCTTCCCTAATCACCCTCCCTAGTTACCCACAGCTTTTATCTTTTTTTTTTTTTTTTTTTTAAATTTAAGATTTTACTGGGGATTTGGGAAGGGGAACAGCCAAGTTGTTGTCCTTCAGTCTTAGTTGCGGATGGGCGTAGCCCACCATCCCATGTGGGAGTCGAACCGGCAACCTTGTTGTTAGGAGCACGTGCTCTCACCAGCTGAGCCACCCTGCTGCCTGTCTGCAGCTCAGGGCAGCTCAGCTCGGGCACAGCTCACTGGCCCATGTAGGAATCAAACCAGCGACGCTGTTGCTCAGAGCTTGCGCTCTTAACCAACTGAGCCACTCAGCTGGCCCCCACAGCCTTTATCTTGTTTTAATTTTCTTTACAGCAGGTATCAGTACCTGACATATACTATTTATATATACCCACACTTTCTCTTCCACTAAAGTGTAGGCTCCCTTAAAAAGCAAGTGTATCTCCAATGTCTAGAATAGCACTCAGAACATAAGAGGTGTTCAATAAATTTTTGTTGAATGAATGAGAAAACTTGAAACAGGTAGAACTAATGCCAGGTAGAGGAAATGTCTCTTTTTAATGAAAATAATGCTTATTTTCCTCATGATCCTGTCCAAGCCATTTGAGATATTCCTTAACTACTTTTGTTAATAAAATAGCTAAACTATGAAAACTATCTCAATATGTACATTTCTCCCAAATGGTAAACTGTCTAGACAGGGCCCAGCTAGACCCCCATGTTAATCACTGGTTGTTGCTGACTTTTCTCCTAAAATTTGGGAAAGGGGGGCTCTTTTCTAGGTTTTGTTCTGTGTCCTTTATAGCCTCCTCTCCGTGTCAGCAACATCTCACCTCAGCAGCCAAAAGGAATACAAAACAAGCTGTCACAGGGATCTGCTGCACTTGATGGACCCCTGAATAACAGATTGCCTATCACATTAGAATTAAAATTCTGCCAAAGCTCCCAATAGCATCTGAGCTATATACAGAATGATAAAAACATGCAGACATACCTGACATTTTACAAGGATGTCAAAGAAGTCTTCATCAGGCTCTTTGACGTCATTAGTCATCAGGTGACCAAGCACCGACTGATTGTTGTTTTGTGTCAGACGGAGCCCTGGCAAATTACTGAAACTGGCCCTCTGGTCGTCCAGGCGGCGGCTCTGTGAACTGGCAAGAAGGTCTAAAAACTCATCCGTGTTGGGGGACATCACAGGAACAGATGGCGCTATGATAGGAAAAAATCCAATCATTCCAAAAATACTGAAGTGCATTTGTTATATACATACAGTTCCTTTCTGCTTTGTTCAGTCCCAGCACCCGCCCTGTCCTCCTGCTGTGACTGTCACTGAGTCACTGACCGTCTGTGGCCTGTCATTAGATGGGAGGGAAGAGTGAATCCCAGAATACTTCAAATGATCCATTTGCTGGTTATTCCGACTTGACTGCATTTCCCTTATCTAATGCCCACCCGACATGTTCTTTATAAGATATGGGGCTAGATTTTGGAAGCTAAATTGTTTTTCTTACATAATGTCTCAGACCAAGATGAATGGGACAGTTTCTATTCCATGTCCTGATAGGAACCATTTAGCTAACTACACTTAGGAGTAAACTGCTGCAGGCAAGCCTTGCTCTAAGGTAGAGAAAGTCTCTTGGTACTGAAGCAAAAATTTAAGTCACCTATTTTAGACCTTTCTAAGGCTCAGGCAGGCTTAGCTTCAGCCTTTGCCAGAGGTTCCTCTTCAGTCTGTCTTGACTTTTCTTAATCTGGCTATGAAGTATTTGCATTTTACATATAGTTTATAAAGTATGTATAACTATAATTTTTTCCTTTTTTATTCGTTAAAGTTAGATTTTTTTCCCAACCCTAAAGAAAATAGGGACAGATAAACTTAGGGAAACTGAAACATAACCTCATTTTGAACTGCACAAATACCAGCATTTCAGATATACCTAGATTCAGCCTCATTTATTGTTCCTCCTATGAGAACTAAGTTCTCCGAAATAAATCACAAGACTATCAAAGGGAACTACTAAAACTAGGGGAGAAGCATAACTTACTTTTTAATGTCATTGTAGGGGGAGTGGAAGTTGCTGTGGAGGCTGTCGCACAGTTCCTTTCCTGTAAGCAGCACCTCTGATCATCCATCCGATTGCTTTGAAATCGACTTAATAGGTCAAAAAACCCTTCATCTCCAATAGTATCTGCACTGATTTTCTGAAATATTGAGAGAAAATATAAATATACCAGCATTATTCTTAGATCATGAATGGAATAGTATCTTGATACACGCAAATGCAAAGGGTAAAGATGAAGATTAAAAATAAAAATTGACATTTTCTTTGTAAAAAGAATACAAGATGATAACATTGTTAATAAAGTTATTTTAATCCAACTAACAAAAAGCAATTCTAGTTATTTTCTAATCCTTGTATTTCTAAGGCTAAAGAAATGTACTTCAGATAATGAATTATGCAAATATTTGTGATACAGGACTGTACCCCAGGCTCAAAGTTTACAGCTTCTTTTGTCATATCTGAATTGCCAGCATCATTATTCCTGCGCTTTGGGGCCATTAAGTAAAATCAGGGTCACCTGAACACAAGCACTGTGATACCTCGACAATTGATCTAGTAACTGAGACAGCGAAGTGACTAACACATGGGTCATGTATACAGCATGAATACGCTGGACAAAAAGATGGTTCACATCCAGGGCAGGACGGTGCAAGATTTCATCACTCAGAATGGTGTGCAATTGAAAACTTATGAATTGTTTATTCTGGAATTTTCCATTTAATATTTTTGGACTGTGGCTGACCACAGGGAATTGAAACTTTAAAAAGCAAAGCCGTAGGTAAGGGGTGGGGGCTACTGTACTTAAAACTTATTTAACATACCCTCTGAGAATTCGGAATCCGGTGATCAATGGAATTACTGGCATCTTGGAGAACTTTAGTGGAGGAAGCAGTTTTGTATTTTTTCCCCTTCAATCTGTTGACAAAGAGTAGCTTTGCAGAAGGTTTGGCAATAAGAGGTTTTTGTTTAGCAAGAATTTCACTGTTCCAGTTCTGTACCTACAAAATTATAAACAAATGTCAAGCAAGCATGAAGAAAACACCAAAGCTATCTGTTTTTCTATAATATTCACCTACCATCTCCACTCATTTAGTATTGGAGGAAGGGGAACTTAGATCTTTTAATAAGTTCCTTTTTTCCAGTATATTTCACTGTTTTCAACAGCTCGTACCAAATATATACTGTGGATTTCTTATTATCAAAACATTAAAATGGTGGCTTTTAAGAACCTAAGAATAAGAAACAAAGTTTGCCAAAATCCCATAAAATTGAAATTTGAATGGTCAGAGAAGGAGCCAAATTTTTATTCTGGATATGAGTTACTAAAAAATATCTATTAACAACTGGAAATTTTGGATATATGTAGAATTTTAACTAAAATTGAACCTCTAATACTTACAAAGCAGTAATTTCTTGTAAATAGAATTATAGTTTTCAGTACTAAAATTCTTGTCACTAAATTCTCAATAGGCAAAATCATAATCAGCAATTTACATAGGTCTAGATCTGGATTAAATATACATACCAAGCTTTTTAAAATGGTAACAGATTCAAACTTTTTAATTGAAAAATATTTTTCAATTAGAGTTGACATATTAGTTTCAGGTGTACAACAGTGATTAGATGTTTATATAATTTACGAAATGATCACCCTGACTAATGCTCACCTGGCACCATACATAGTTATTACAGTATTATTGAATGTATTCCCTATGCTGTACTTAACATACCTGTGACTATTATGCAATTACCAATTTGTACTTTTTATTCCCTTTGCCTTTTTTATCCCAGCCCCCAAGCCCCACTCCCATCTGGCAACCATTAATTTGTTCTCTGTATCTATGAGTTTGTTTCTGTTTTGCATAATATTTAAATAACAGACTAATTATAACAAGTACAGTAAAACCTTGGATTGTGAGTAACTTGGTTTGCGAGCGTTCCACAAGACGAGCAAACATTTCTAATACATTTTAACTTGGTAAACGAGCGATGTCTTGCAATACGAGTAGTTTGTTTCCGGAATGAATTATGCTCACAAACAAGTTATTACTGTATTTATTGAGTCCAAAGGAAAATTATAGAGTACATATATGTGATATTTGCAGCTTTAACATTCGGTCTTAAGTGTTTGGAAGTAACTAATAAACATCCATGTTATGTAGTAATTGATGATTTGATGAGGTACTTGTCATAGGTGCACATATAGTTAAATGTACAGATTTTAAGTGTGTAGTTGAAAGACATAACCTCTACTCCAATCAGAACAGAACATTTCCATCAACCCAGAATATTCCCCCATGGGGCACACATTAGAATAGCTCCTGCCAAGGCTAATTACTCGAGTAAGACACATAGCTAAAAAGTGAACCAAACCAGCCATATGCAGTTACAATGGACCTTAATTTTTTATTTCTCAATTCCTTTTTCTCATACACGTTATAAGGGGAAATTATTTGCTAGAGTGGATTTCAGGATCTACTGATTCGAGAAAAAGTAAATGACCCTTGATGTTAGAACATAAAACTGCACCTGAAACCCAAGAGGAAATATAAAAAATTTTAAATGTTTCCTATACAGTTATTTGGACATCTCAACAAAAACACTGAAGAATACAAAGTGGAACAATGTCTTCAAAATTATGAAGGAATATTATTTCTAACCAATAATTCCACAGTCGGCAAAATTACAAATTAAATGTGATAGTAGGAAAAAGGCATGTTCAAACTTTGAGAAAGAACAAAGTGAAGGTACCAGATGCCCTGATTTCAAAAACTACAAAGCTACAATAATCAAAACAGTATGGGACTGGAATAAAAACAGCTATATAGATCAAGGTAACAGAATAGAAAGCCCAAAAATAAAGCCTTACTTTTACGGTCAATCTAGGACAGGTAGTAAGGATATACAATGGGATAAAGACAGTCTTTTCAATAAATGGTGCTGGGAAAACTGGACACTTGTAAAATAAATGAAATTGGACCCCTTTCTTACATCATATACAAAAATAACTCAAAATGGATTAAAGACTTAAATGTAAGACCTGAAGCCATAAAAACTCTAGCAGAGGCAGGGAACTCTTTGATATCAATCTTTTAATTCAAATATATTGGGGTGGCAATTAGTAAAATTACATAGGTTTCAAGT